TGTGGAACTCAGGCTCCCAACTCTGGTCGCCATTTCAGTTCGGCGTTGTATCTTCGTTAATTGATGGCAGGAGTAGAGAGCCCAAGAGCAATGGTGAATGTACCGATTACGGTGGTCAGCTGCCCGATGCAGCCACTTGGACCATCGCCCGCTGAGTGCTCTATGTTGGACACGTGTGGTCCAGAAAGCTTCGAATTGGGCAAGACGTTGGGGACGGGCTCCTTTGGGAGGGTCCGATTCGTAACGCACCGGGACACTGGGAAACACTATGCGTTGAAGATACTAAAAAAGATCGCAATCGTACGGCTCAAACAAGTGAGACGAGCTCATCAAAATCATAGTAACCCTATTCCTATCAGGTTGATCACATCAACTCGGAAAAAGCGATCCTCAAGACCATACATCACCCTATGATCGTAAACCTTTATGGGTGTTTCCATGACAGTCGTCATATTTATCTTGCACTGGAGTAGTCTCTTTCTTTAGAATTCTCAGAACTACCAAGGGAGTGATTCAGGTACGTCGTCGGTGGGGAGTTTTTCACGCATTTACGTAAAGTGGGGCGGTTCGAAAACGAGACGGCCCGATTTTACGCAGCTCAAATTGTGAGCATCTTTGAATACCTTCACTCAAAGAATATCATCTATCGTGATCTAAAGCCAGAAAACATCCTGCTTGCCTCGGACGGTTACTTGAAGCTCACAGACTTCGGCTTTGCTAAAGTGAGAGTAACCGAACGGGTCGTGTCCTCATTTGGAGTTCATAGATTGTCGAACAACGAACGTATACACTCTGTGGCACACCGGAGTACATCGCCCCTGAAGTCCTGCTCAATAAGGTGGGCGAAGTGGTTCAGTGAGGGAGACTGATATTGGTGGTGTAGGGCCATGGTAAAGCAGTTGACTGGTGGACCCTGGGCATCCTTACCTATGAGATGATGGTTGGTTATCCACCCTTTGTTGATGAGGACCCAATGGGTTAGTGTTCGTTCGTGTTCATCCAGTTGTTATCAATACATATAGTATTCTGATGTATATATTGCTATTAATGCACGTTATCAGATTTTATCATGTGTTATTCATTTTGCATTGAGGAATTTGTCATTCATTACATTCTTATCAATAAATGATCGTCATCATAGATTCATAGATATCTTTCTGAAGTTTTATCTATATATCTCTCATATTGCTTATATGAATATTGTTACATAATAAGATCATGTTATATTTAT